CCCCAAAACCCCAAAACCCCAAAACCCCAGGGATTATTAAAAAAATTGAAAAAATGTTGTTCCAAACGAGTGAGGTTATGAGAGAAGAGGAAGACCAGATCGGCATGTTCTCGAGGGTTGGGAAGACGGCTGCTATAGTAGAGGAGAGGTAAGGTTTTGGTGGGGTTGTTGGGAGGGGGTTTTACAATGGTTTTTGGGGTTTTGGACCAAAGAGAAATGGCTCTTGATAAGGTCATTGTTATTCATTTGATAAAAGAAGATTTATGGGGTGGAATCTCTTTGGATTGAAGTTTGGAGCCATTTTTGATAATATTAGATTTGGGAGAATGGAGTTTTATAGAATAGTTTTTGTTATTGGTTTTTTAAGTAATCAGAACCTCTTTAATATACAAATAGCTCATTAAATCGTCAACAATTTTTTAACGTTCAAATTTAACCTTATACCTGCTTTTCCACATCGCTTGCAGTCGACCCACCTTCAATACATATCTCTCATCCTGCTAAAGAAACTTACCATATCCTTGAACAAGGGTTCAGGGTTATTCTCTGAAGTAGACTCTCTTTATCAGCTTAAAAAAATTGCTAAAATTAAAATATTTGCTTTTCATCCAAAGAACTAAATTTCTACGAAATAAATTCATCAGACTCAAAGATTATATTTCTTCCTGCCATGCCTCATGAAGAGTCTACGAGAACAGTTTTATTTACAAAGAGTAGGCTTAAGTATTAACAATGGTATTTTTGGCTCAATTTGGATCAAACTATGGCATCTTTATGGTCATGAACTTTTAGTAACTTCATAACAAAATTAGCTTTTTAAAACAAATCGTAAATTTTATTCTCCATTGATGAACTTAACTAAGAAATATATGAAGAAGAGCTGGAAAATCAGCAAGAACAGGAGAGCAACGGTAATTATTAGCTTACAGACTTTGCGAGATTACTAATATAGAGTCGAAAGAAAGTAAACATGAGCCTAAGAGAAAAATTAAAGCCAATTTCAAACTTGATTCTTCGTTTAAAACAGTTTCAAGATACCAGAGACAGAAAGTGCTTGACAAGAAAGATATTTCAGTTCCTGTTGGCTACTATAGGCCAAAGTTCAGTTTTATACAATGATCTAGGCATACTGAGTGAGTAGATTTACTCTTATAGGTCAGAATTTTGAAGAACAGAAAGCTGACTAAGTCAAGGCCAAAGACTAATGATATAAAAGTAAAAATGTGAAACAGAATATTTCGCTCATTAAAAACATCAGAGAATAGCTCCTTGAGAGGAAGATCTCAGAACCTAAGAAGTATTGGTAAAAATTTATGCTCTAGAAAAGCTAAATAACCTTAAGAAGAATTCTAAGAGGGAGAAATTATACCAGAATACAGATAGGGCAAGCTCAAACAAAGTTTCAAAAGTAGATCTCTTTCTAAGGTTAAAATAGCTCATGATTTCAACAGTGAACTCTCAACATATTTCTGAAGAAGCATCAAGCGCCAAGTTAGTTATGCCAAGAAATGTTAGTACTTGTAATAAAAAGGGATCTGTTCCTTTTGAGTCAACCAGAATGTTTTTAGTAAAGAGTCAATTATCTCACAAGAAGTTGACTTCTAAGAAAACACTGTCTATCTTTCCCCCAAAGGAAATTAGTTTGCTTCAGGGTCCTTTTGAGATAGAAGACTCTTTGAGGAGCCAGTCTAAGAAATCTAGAGGAAAATCCTTGTTCAAAGTTCCAATAATACTCACTGGGAGATCCCCACAAACAAAATTTAATAGACAGAAATCTGGGTTCTCAAAGCCTGTGGGTCCTTGAAAAGGTAAATTGGGTTATGTGACATTTAGAGAAACTCTACCGCATTATAAAGAAAAAGAACAAAGAAGGAGCTTTAGAGATAGTACCGAAATTTGATATCAGCCAAGAAATTCAAAAGAGTACAGACTTTGGTCATTTTTAGGAAGCAATATGATACGTTCTTTTGATACCACACTTGGTAGAGAGTAAGCAATGGGTGTTATGGTATAGAGAAGCTAACTATTTGCAACAAAAACAACTCTTTGACAAAGGAAGGCTAGAAGTAAGTACTTTTGAGTGTAAAATATAGAAATTTGACCCAAAGTATAACACACAAGTTAGAAAAATTCCCTCAGTTGATTACTCAAAGATGATTGGAAGAGATAATGTTTTCGAATCTACTTGATTCACACCAGACTATTACGATTCTCCTGATCATAAAAATAGCAACAAAGTAAGAAAACTATATTTAATTGATTTAGGAACTAAACAAATCTCAAAATGTAGTCATTGGAAATGTAGACTTTACTAAGCAGATTTCACGGGATTCGTGCAGGTAACACCCTCAAATAACTTTCAGCTCATTTTACAGACATAGGAGGGATATATCTCCAGAGTTTTATAGCTATAACCTAGACTCTGTATCATCTTGTCTGAGGGGCACCGACTGGAGGTATTTCTAAAAGTCATTCTGTAGTAAGCAATCTTCCAGGACAAAAAAAGTGATACAAGAGAAGAAGCGAAAGATATTAACACTTTACTGCACAACATCAGTCAAGATGAAGAAGTTAGGTCAGAAGTAGTCTACATTTAGTGGTGTGCAGATTTCAATATTTTTTTGAGATTTCGGGGTTTTGGGGTTTTGGGGTTTTGGGGTTTTGGGG